ACAGGACCCTCATGAGTGAGAACTAACCCAGCTACACATCTGGACAGCCATAGGGGATCCCCTGGCATCCACAGGAGAAAAAAAAAATCCTACAAAAAATGAAAAAAGCAGCTAAACATTAGGAAGATAGAAAAACACTGAATAAACTGGATTCACCTAAAGATCCTTCAGTACTTTGCAGCATGTTCTGAACACTACTTCTGACCTTCTGCCAAAGCTCCACTTTGATCCAGCCTCACTGAACGGACACATGATAAAAAAATACTACTAGGGCTTCCAAAAATAAAGTACAATATGCAGAAAAAATCATCTGGAAAAACATTTTTCCTGGCTGATATTTACTTTCATAAATATGACCAAAAAAAAGGAAAGCAGCATAAGATTGATCAGGATTCTGTTTCATGCCAACTACTGGAGTCAGGAAACAAGGCAGTTACAGGTATACAAGACAGTTTATTAACTACTTAACGCTTAACAACAGTTTGTTTCATTTGAAACACTGAATTCAGAGTTTAAAAAGAGAAGAGAAAGAGCGTAGAAGCAGAAATGCTCCACAGGGGAAGTCAGTGATTTGAAAGGCGAGTACCGCAGAAATCTCAGCGGCGCCGTGCGAAGTTCCTAACGCCACACGCTCGGGAAAGCGAAGGTTTTCCCGAGGAGTATTTACGTGAGGAAGGCAGAGACAGCAGGAGGGGCACGCGCTCCCCCGCCAGGCCGAACGAGGCCCGATTTCTAAACTGTGCAACTAATGGAACTTTCTTTTCCGTGCATGCACGGAGCATGATTTTTCTAGTTACCTCTCACCGTGCCTGGAAGCCGGGCGTGAAGGTTCACCCCCCTGTGTTCAGTTCTGCACAAATGCTGCCAGGAGACAACCTTGGCATTTGGCATCAGCACTGGGGAACCCGCCGGCTCTGCCTGTGCTCATGGATTGAGTGTCACCAGAAACTGAAGATGTGGGACAGTGTGCTGTGACGCTAAACTATCTATTATCTATAAACTATCTCTTACCTATAAACTATCTATTATTAGTGCCTGCATAACGATTTCCTAAGATGATCACAGTATACATGTTCCCACCATGCATTTAGAAAATATTGAAAGTCTATCTAGAAATCTGAAATGACTACTGCTAACCAAGTTTTAAAACACTGTCACATGGGGTGCAGATCATCTGAGTTTAAACTCACATTCAGGCTACCTGCATTTTCTGAAACGTGCTCCGAATAGAACATCAACTCCAGGCACAGGACACAGCCCAGAAGACGAGCACTGCGCCTGCGCTGAATCAGCCCACCCACGCTTTCCTTAGGATGCCTACTGTGCAGAAAGGAGTCAGAGCACTCCAGGGAAATATCCAATGCCTTGAAATATCCAAACGCCTCGAAACCCACTCTTTCGTAATAGCTATGGATGAGGATAGAAGTTGGAGGCGAGGGAGGGACAGACAGAAGTGTTGGAGAGTGTCTCCTAAACCATGCACTCTGCATGGAATGGGCTCAAACAACAGCTGAGAGCACTGTCAGAAACAAGAGTCACAGAATTACAGAACAACTGAAGTTGGAAGGGACCTTGGCAATCAGCACTTAGAACACTTAGAAATAGGCAACCATGAATAGATTACCCTTACATACACTTGGCTTGGGGGAAACAGGAATTAGAAACAAAAGCACATGGTACTTATTTGTGGGGAGCATATCTTCACAAACTGCGTCAAAGCCCTGCCTGTGAAAACGAAAACGGTGCCGCTTAGCTAGATCCTTCATTGCTGTGTCTCCATTGTTTTATTTCTGGTACAACCATCTGATGTTTCATATTTTACTGGAAATTTGACAAACTGGATTGCTGCATTAAAGCAAAAGACACTGCACCTAGTAAGAATGAAGGTGGTGAGGTCTAACGTACATGAAACTTTTAATAAAATCATGACAAGCACAGGAAAACATAAGCATGGAAAACTATCTTCAGACTTAGCAAGCAGTAACTAAGGCTTCCAAGTAAATTCACCTTCCTCAAGGTTATATTTGGAAAAAAAGGAGAAGATACCAGAAGTCCAGTATGCTTCACTCACAGATAAATAGAAACCTATTGAGCGTGTGGCCTAAAACAGTGTCCAAGGGCATCTTCCACTTCTCTGCGTCTGTTTTTCAGAGGGATCTGGGGAAAATATATATATAACTTAATTTCAACTGCAGTTTTTCTCCTTTTCCCTCTACAGTTATTGCCTTTTAAAAGGTTTCAGTTGCTATGTTATTTTGTCTCCACATTCACCATCTGCCTGGTATACTACAGAGTTTAATCTGGTAAAAGGAGAAGTCAAGGTCCTTTCTAGTTCATCTTTTCATTGCTGCTTCTTTGTCAGCCTCTACTTTTAATCTCTTACTTGGCAAGAGTAACCCAAAAAAAAACCAAATGTGTTTTTTTTTTTTCGCTTTTTCTCTGAGTCTTTGCCATGTTTTGATTTACTGCAGTGAACTTCATTGCTAACTGTCCCACAAACCTGCCTGATTTTTACTATGTTTACTACATAAACATAATGCACGACTCTCCATATGTTCTTCCCAGCATTGATTAAGCATTAAGGGCTCACACTGGTTAGTTTGCAGTGAAGGCATCAGGCTGTTAAGTAATTCCCTGTGGAACTGCAATTAAAACTTTGGCAGATTCTACTGAAATTCATGAAACCACTGTAGCCCGAGCAGATCCAATCTGGGAATACTTTCCCACCTGTGTATCTGCAATACAGCCACTTACTGTCTTAGTTCTACCAAGAATAGCATTAAACATGAAAGCTGAGGGACACGGCTGGTCCTTGGAGGGGCCGTCGCTCACTCCGGTGAGCAGAGTGACAGGAGCGTGTTCTGAGATGCCAAGAAAGATGGGAGTGTGTTCTGAGCTTTTGCAGTTAAATGTTACTACAAATACATTTTACCTTGTAGGTCCTAACGCTGGACCTAATCTGAAGGGACAGCTACTTTGTTAAAAGATTGGATTTACCCTTCTAGATTTAGGCGCCTCCCCTCAGGTAAAACTCAGTTCAGTGTGGTTGCTATTGAAGCACATTCATTTACATTCCTTATCACTTGAATATATAGACTACTGAATAATTACTTTTTAAGTTCCAAAACCATCTGATCACCTATCACTTGAATATATAGACTACTGAAGAATTACTAGTTTTTTGTTTGTTTGTTTGTTTGTTTTTAAGTTCCAAAACCATCTGATCACAGAGGATACATAAAAATCAGATCAACTTGTTGAATATCAAAAAGGCATTGTTTTTAGAAGTTACAAAAAAAGGCACTGGTATCTAAATATTACATGGAATTTTAAGAAATCTTTAGTAACACTACTCATGGGCCTGAAAGCTAGCAAGAAATTAAATCTTTGCCTAATTACTTGTAACATTCAGTGAACATATAACTAGAAAGGAAATGTTGAAGAAACACTTGGGAAAAACATAAACTATACATTAGCATAGGAACAAGGAAAGGTGGGATTGAATAAATTCACAAAGGATGGGGAATTTGTCTGACTGACTACAGGCAGCAATTGATCACATTGACAAGACATGCTGAAAGACAGCAGCCACAGGGGTTTGTTCAGAATTTAGAAGCAGGGAAAAGTGCAAAACATCCAAACAAAGAATAGCACTCTCCATATTTCTTAAACCCTTAGAGAATTTGTAGTATAGGGGAGCCCATCACTGGAAGTTTTTTTTTTTTTTCTTTCTTTTTGCTCATTACTAATGAGTAATTACTAATGATTGGTCAAAATGATGACCTTAGTGAAACTTCCTGTGGAGGTAACTAGAAAAAATTGTCAAACAGCTAAGACTCCTAGAGCAGCCCTACTCACACAGTGATAAATAAGGCCAATGGGTCTGACCATACAGCCAGGACCAGGAATAGTCCTGGGAAGGAGAGAAGCCCGGAAGCTGGATGATACTGTTCTGCCCAGGGAAATGGAGCTGACACGAGCGGCTCCTCTTGCAGCACTCTGGGTGCATCTCAGCAGCCTCTGCTTCCCCCTCTCATCAGCCCCACAGAATCACACGATCATTATGGTTGGAAAAGTCCTTCAAGATCATGGAGCCCAACCATAAGCCCTTCAACACCATGCCTGTTAAACCATGTCCCCAAGTGCCTCATCTACACATTTCTTTAACACTGACAGGGACAGTGACTCTTCTTGGGCCAATGCCTTCCAATGCCTCACCACTCCTTCTGTGTAGGACGCCTTCCTAATACCCAACCTGTAGCCCTTCAGGTGCAATTTGAGGGCGTGGGCAGGTAGCAAACACTGCTTTGAGACTAAAGCAGTAGAGAGCCTTTTCTCTCCCCCTCAATAACCACAAGCAATCGCTTTCGCAGTTGCTTCAAGCGCTGGAGCAGAAACCAACTCCCCAGAGCCACCCCATGGCGACGCCACAGCCCAAACGCCACCAACGGCCGCTGCCCCGCGCATGCGCGGCCGCGCCCCACCGAGGCATTTTCCGTTGCTCGCCAGGCGCTTCCGGGTGTGGCGGCCCGGGCGGCGGGGTCTGGAGCGGAGCGGAGCGGAGCGGGCGGCGACCCCTGCGCGCTGCCTGCTGTCATGAAACACAAAGCAAGTGTTTTTTTTTATTATTATTTTTTATTTTCCAAGCAAAACGAGTTGTTTGCCAGGGATACTATTTTTTTTCTTTGTAAAAGATCAAAATTCAAAATGTGTCTTTGTCTTGTTTCAGCTCTTTTTTTCTCACAAATTGCTCTAATTTTATGTATGAATTTTAATAACTGGCTGGTATTTATTGCTTAGAATCTGTAGATTTTTGTGTTTATTGTTCCACAGTACAGCAGTTTTGAGTTAGGACTGCAAGAATACAAAATTTATGCAAGTAAAACGCCCTTTTCTTACTATGGCTTGCTGTATATCACTATCAAAGGTGATTGTTTAGCTCTTCTTATTTAAGAGGCTTATAGATATTTGTGGTGCTTATTTAAACTTTTAACGTTTTCCCCAGGTTCAAGTTCATTTTGTTGTACAAGTTCCTCACTGCCATAATGCGACTAGTAATCCTGGAAGATTATGACCAGGCTAGTGAATGGGCAGCAAAATACATCTGTAATCGTATTATCCAATTCAAGCCAAGTCAAGGAAAATATTTCACACTTGGTCTACCAACAGGCAAGTTTTCTTCAAAATCTATGTAACTGACTAATCCTAAAAAGGCATTTGCCTCTTTGCTAACAGATACCATTTCTGTGGGAAAATAGTTATATACCAAATAGTTATATACCAAAATAGTTATACCTTTTTTTTTTTTGCCAAATAGTTATATACCAAATAGTTATATACCAAAATAGTTATACCTTTTTTTTTTTTGATAATACTCCCAACATATTTCTAACTTAAATATGAAGTTTTCTTGTTTAAAAAAGTTATGGTAATGATAGATGAAAAATTACAGTTTTCTTTTATTTCTGTTGAAAAACATTGTAGCAAATTCTAACTATGGAGAGATTTAAATGCATTCTGAAAATGTTGTGTGGATATACAGCACAGTGTCAAAACTTTATTCAACAGGGAGTACGCCTTTGGGATGCTACAAGAAGTTGATAGAATATCACAAGAATGGAGATCTCTCTTTCAAATATGTAAAGACTTTCAATATGGATGAATACGTAGGTAAGCTGTGGTGTTAATTACTGGTACACTGAAACTTTCTCCTTTAAAGCTGTTAAATATATCTAGATAGAGGACAAGATCAATTTCTGATACATTTATGCTTCTAACTAGATTTATGTGCATTGTGTAATTTAAGCATGTGTCTGTCACATTTATTCTCAAAAGTGCAAAGAGTTACTGCTGGTCCAAGCAGATACCAAGCAATTCAGTGCTTGTAACGAACTGAAATACTCTCACAGGAAGTACTTTGTCACTTTTCTCTTGAACATCTTATCTTTTTGATGTTTGTGCAAAGTGAATGCACTGAAACAATTACCTTGCTGTATAGCAATAGAAAAAGCTCAAATGTTCTTTCAAATTGTTCTTTGATTTGGTGGAGTCTTCCATGCCATGTTTGTTACACGTGCAGTGGAATGATGAAGGTGGGTTAAATAAATCTTATAATGTATTAACTTCACTTAAATGGTTGCAGGACTTCCCAGAAATCATCCAGAGAGTTATCATTCTTATATGTGGAATAACTTCTTTAAGCATATTGACATAGATCCAAATAATGCTCATATCCTTGATGGAAATGCTCCAGATCTACAGGCAGAATGTGATGCATTTGAAAAGAAAATAGAAGAAGCTGGGGGGATTGATCTGTTTGTTGGAGGTATGACAAAACATTCTGTGATCAATTAAAATGCAAACAAATGCACCAGATCTGTAGTTGCTATTTTTAGAAAATTGCTAAAAAAAAAAAAAAAAGTCTGTTTGCAAATATGGTATAATAAAGTTCTGTGACTAACAAAAATCAATATGAATATCAAAACAGACTGGTTGGTGTCCAGTTTCCAATAGTAACTTACTCTGAAATAAGTTTTCAGTGTGTTTTACTGAAAGCATGGGGCTAAAGAATTCATGCTTAAGCTTTTCTTTTACAATGTCTGAGGATATCTGTTGACTTGTAGCTCTGGAATGATTTACTTTTTTTAACTTTGAAAAGGCATTGGTCCAGATGGCCACATTGCATTCAATGAACCAGGATCAAGCTTGTCTTCAAGAACAAGATTAAAGACTTTAGCAATGGACACCATTTTGGCAAATGCTAAATACTTTGATGGAGACTTATCTAAAGTACCAACTATGGCGCTAACAGTTGGTGTGGGTACAGTGATGGATGCTAGAGAAGTAAGAACTCCTTTAGTTTTAGTTGCATGTATCTGTTTTCAAGATCATTGCTGGTAGATAAACTGGGATTGAAAGTAAACAGAGACCTTTCTTTTGCAGGTGATGATTCTTATAACAGGTGCACATAAAGCTTTTGCTTTGTACAAAGCAATTGAAGAAGGGGTCAATCATATGTGGACAGTTTCTGCTTTCCAGCAGCACCCTCGCACTATCTTTGTATGTGATGAAGATGCTACTTTAGAATTAAGAGTTAAAACTGTAAAGTACTTTAAAGGTGAGCACTGAATTAGAAGAGTTACCCATATTTGAAACTAAATTTAAAATTATGTTAAGTCTGGGCTTTCCAACACATTAGAGTAGCTAACATATAATGTATTCAATACAAGAAGTGTTAATTTATGTCTTGAGTGGAACAATGCTAAGAGACACAATGTTTCTTACACATGAAATCAGAGTATGTCAGCTGATGTTCCTGAAAAGTCCTTTGAATAAGGTCTTTCCTTTGCTCTCACTTTGAATTGTAGTTGAGTAATCTTCAACTGCATGTTCAGAAAAGAGCAGCAGTCTGTGTCTAGAATACTGGTCATAAACACACTGGAAAGTCTTGGTAAAGGATACTCGAGAGATGTATTAATCATGACATATTCCAGTATACTTTGGTTATGACTTGTTTTGTTATGACTGGCAGTTTGATATCTTGTAAAGCGTTGTCTAGTTAAATTGATGTGTGATGCAGGCTTTGAAGTCAGTTGAGGACATCTTGCATACAGTCCATACTGGCTGTTAATACTTTGCACACTTAGAGTGTTTTTCATATTTGCAGTAGGTATATTTAGGTAGCTTTAAGGTAACACTGAATTTTTGGTAGTCACGGGGAATTCCTGCTTTCGCAGTTTTGTTCCACTTTGCCGAGGCTGTATGCAATTCTGTGGAGCTGTGGTTACTGTGCTAATATAGGTGAGAGCAGAGAAGTCATGTTTATATCACAACGGTAGTCTTTCTCACTTGAATTGAGGTTCTCACTGTTATTGAGGTATCTGAGATCTAGACTTATTTATGAAAATATTCTTAGAGTATTGTAATACTGGTGTCCATAGATGCTTCAGATTGCAAAATTAATTACGATCTTTAGTGTGCTTACTTGTGGGTAATGTTTTAATTTTTAATTTAATTTATTTTTTTAATACTTTACACAAACAAGCTTTGGTCAGAGAAGATGTAAATATATTAGTGAGGAATTAGTAGGTATGACACTGATATTCAATCTTGCTTTAAAAAATCAAGGGCTACAGTATGTGAATAGATGCTATTCTTTCACACTATAATTAATTATCTTGTAATATACACAGAGAAATAGAATTTTTAGAAATTTACTTTAAATGAGCTGAATTTTCCTGAGTCATAAATCCATTTGATTTTCTAAGATGGAAGGAAAATCAATGGTCAAATCTGGAATTCTTTCTCTGTGTTGATCTTCAAGTTAGACTAAAGATGCTAGGTAGCTCTTAAGGACTATTTAACTTTGCTAGTTACTTACTAAAATGTCTCACCATTTAAAAAAAATCAAGATACTGTATGAAACTTGGAAGTAGATAATAAATTATCACACTGGCTGATAGCTAGAATAAACTCTTCTCTACTTACCGGTAACTTTTGGAAAACCTATTAAGAGGTTGATATCAAATCTACTTGAACTGTGTTAATGGAAAGGTTACTTCTATTTACCTCTTCGGAGAGTGAGGCCAAACTATTTTTTCTGAATTTATTACTTTGCAGAGAAGAATTAATGCCAGAAAGCTTTGTCCACACCTGTGCATGCCTCTCTGAAACTATATAAACATATACGTACTCAAAGAATACTCGAGTTAAATAGGTAGCAAGGCTTCTCCTTTGATATAAAGAATGTTAAGATTTTTTTTTTCTTCCCATCAATCAAGTGGATGGGCCTTGCAAATATCAGCTCTTGCTTCTAACTCTGTTCTTGAAACACGCTTTGACCAACAGGATTTAAATATCCCTCAGGAAATATGGCAGTGGCAGTCCCTGTAAATGTTCTTCATGCCTGTGGGAAAAGTGGGGAATTATCTCCTTTTCTAGAAAAGAAACTGACAGGAAGCAGAAGGCTTTGGAGTTCTAATGTAGGTTCTAATTTGAACAGTGACTGCAAAGTGACTGCAGTTAATACTTTCTTCCTTCATCAAGGACTCTTAAATTGAATGTCTATTTATTATTTTCCCTACACTACTGGCTTTCGTTTCCTTGTAGGTCAAAGCAATACTTGTGTTTCATGAAATCTGAGAAAGTCTTCTTCAATAGTACTATTATGTTAAGCAAAATACAAAACGAAAAACCTTGAAGGCAAAAACTTGAAGTTAAGACATTACCTTAGATTAAGAAGGAAAAAAAAAAAACCCACAGTTCTTGCTGTTGGCTGTTCAGTAGGATGAATGTATCACTTATTCAAAAACAATATCTGTATTTTTAAGTAACTGTATACAGATTGAAAACAGATACTGCCTGGTATGGTCATTTAAATAACATCTGATTGTATAGTTAAATATTCAAATTTATTGTTGCTACAGTGACAGTAAATTTGCCACATGATGCATTCTTGGTTACAGATAATCTCTGGGATGTGCCCTACTGCCAGTCTTGAGTTTCAGGTTTCTAAGAAAATCTGTGTTCTTCCTTATTTTAATATTGCCCAATACTTACATTCGTGTAACTGCAGAAATCAATTTTTAGTTTGATGTTAGGCTTAAGTCTTAATTTGCAGATTATTGAACATGGATTAGTCACTTCTGTTAGTTGTTATGGTGGCATGAGGTTAAAACCAAAGTGATTAAATGTGGGACAGAGATAGGTAGGTAATACTTTTGCTAAATCAACTCTAACATAAAAAGAGCACTGCACCTTTTTATGTCTTCTACATTATGGTGACTTGTAAATGAGCAAAATAATAAATGTGCTAAGATAGAAAGTTTTGAATCTGCCTTAAAAGAAAATAGCTAAAAATATCTAGACTATTATTGTGTAGGAACAGAAATATAGCAATCACAAAGACAGTAGCACCGCAATGCTAGAATGCTGTATCTATTAATAATCTGATTTTTATTACAAATTATGGAAAAAATTTTTGCAAGGGAAACCTTGCTGCTTTTCAGTTTTTGCCTTAATATAAAGGAAAAGTGATTTTCTGGCATGCTTTCTGGCATGCATTCAGTGAATTTATTTGGCAATACTCCAGGTCTGTTCTCTGACTAGTCTGCTGTGAGGTAGGCTGGAGTTCTGAGATGCATTTTGTATCCCTGATCAGTTTATGCTGAAGCTGTCAGTATTTGGGTGATGCAGGAATAAGGCTAACTTGAAGAACAAAGTAATTAAGTTCTTTGAAGAGACAGTCTACTTTTTCTTAAACTGTTTGAGATATGTGCTTGAAGTAAACTCCACAAATAAAAATGTGGATAGAAAAACTTGTTGAAAGTGTGTTATGACTAATGTAAAGCTGGCATTGTTGCTTTCCCCCCCAAGGTTTAATGCATGTGCACAATAAACTTGTGGACCCACTGTACAGTATGAAAGAAAACTGAAGGAAGAATTGAGGAGGAACTCCATGTGGGTGAACAACAACATTTTTAGGTAGCAGATGAATTCACTGCTATGCAATATGCTGAAAACTGGCTAAAATGGGGAATCCTAGGTACTGTATTTTTTAAAAGGTCCAGTCTCTCTGTATATGCACATTCCATATCTAGTTGTTGTACATTGTTTTAACACTTGGAGATCTATCTTTGGCTGTTACAGTAACTAAATGGAACAATAAACTTACTGAAGACTGCATGAGGGGAGGGGGGAAGCACCTAAGCACTCATTTAGCAAAAGCAGTGTGATGCCTGTATTAGAGAATGATACTTTATTTCCAATTTTTTTTTTAAAGGGCTCCATTAGTGCAACTACACTTGACGTTTGTGTATCTAGGGAGAATGGTTTTGGTCTCTGTCCATACCATTGAGTTGTAATAGCTGCACAACTTTTACTATGAAATGTTCTGTTTACATGGATCAAATGCACACTGAGCTTTTGCACGTGGTTGCCTTAAATTATCTTGTGCAAATAGTTTTGGGTAGCTTAAGTCCTACTGTGTATTTCAGGCAAATAAGATTTCAAAACAGTGCCTAAAAATGCACCTGATCCTTTAAAGTGTTATAACAACCTATACCCGTTACAAACATTAAACTTCTGCCACTTTTTCTTCTCATGTATTTCAAATTACTTTAGGATTTTTATATTTTTGGTATTTGAGCTTTATACATAAGAAATCTAAGTGTTCCTTTCTGAAGGTAGACAGGTTTCAGTGTATTGTTCCTATTATATGCCTGCAAATAAGTTAATTTACAGAAGATCAATGTCTGCAAGTTTAAATGATGATGCATTAAAGACAACTGTTATCTGAAGCACTTTATCTCACTGTGTCATTATAAGCACTGAGTTGTTACAAGGAATGTTATTTCTTTTAATACTCGTAAGAGTTTTTTGTGCTCTCTCAGGCCCTCTAAGACTAAAGAAAACAAATTTGAAGTACTTCATAATTACTTAAATTTTCATATGCAAAAGGCAGATGCTACACTTCCAATGCTGCTACATTAATATGCCCCATCTGAGGCGGGTCTAAAAGTATTTATGCCTCTTGAATATCTTGAAAACAACTGGTTGCGCCTATAATGTGTCTTCAGTTAAGAAGACACATTACCAATGGGGAGGTAAAAAACTAAAGCCTAGTTTAGCCTCTTACAAAACATTCAAATGTAAGAAAACACTGTTTTAACTTAGTAGGCCTTTAAAACATGTTTAAAGGGAGAAAAAAAGGCTATATCTGTGACTTGGTAAAATTATTTTTTGTCACAGTAAGAATTACTACATCATTTATTGTTTTATTGAGAATATGGAACTTCTGTGGAGTTGCAATAAATACTTTCAGAATCAGTAATGTCAAACAATATCTTTAATTTCATGATTTACAAACATCTGTACATTTTAGCCATTTTTCTTAACTTGCACTTTTTTAAAATCACACTTGTTCCCTCTCCCAGAGATAAAGATATTAACTCACTTTTCTTGGCAGTAGCAAAGTGAGAAACCAGTCAACTGCATCTTGCTGATCTATTTGTCAGGCTGTCTTTTTAAAACACGTATAAAGGCATCTTTTGGTACTTCCACATTGCCAAATTTTCTCATCAGCTTCTTCCCCTCTGCCTGCCTCTTTAAAAGCTTCATTTTTCTTGTAATGTCTCCACCATACTGCAAAAAAGGAAGAAAATAGTAAGTTTAAATGCAACTACAGTACATTCCCCATTACCTAAATTCAAGGACACAGAAAAAAAATTATTTTGAAAGGGTATTATATTATTCACACACATAAGATGTTCTTATGTTCCAAACACTAGTTTGGAGCATAAACACTAATAGTAGTGTTTTCCCAAACCCTACTCAAGAAGAATTTTAGCAGCTTAATTGTCCAATGAAAGGTAGATCCAGTTACCTAAATATAAATTACCATAAGTCTGTCTGATATTTCAGACCACCTACAGGAGATCCAAGTCCCTTTAGAACAACACTCCAACACCACATCAGATACACTGTGGCATCGTGGAGTGACATTAGGTGCTTATGTTTAGATAAGTGAGGTGAATTCTTAGGCATGAAACAGATATCAGAAGAATTCTTATCAAATTTGAGAAAGGGGCAACATTTCTTTAATCTCTTCAACATGCTAGCTTCAGAGATCCAAAAACAAGATGGCTAAGAAGCATATTTTTCATACAGTTTTGTCCAGTATTCAAGTACTGCCTTTTCAAGATATTGTCATGATTAATCAGTGAAAACACAAGTAAAAATCCAATCACACTTAGCATCTAGAGACACACTTTTATATACTTTTATATTGCCTGAAAATGGTGTGGAGTTATAGGGTTGTGTGTATATACACACACAGATGTATATGTTTACTGTATATACACAACCCTGTATATACACAACCCAGAATACACACACCCTTTTCAGCTCACTATAAGACTGCAGCTTTGAAAAAAGCCATTATTACTTTTTCAGATGCACATTTATAACTTACAGCTGCTGCATACTGTAAGAACTGCATTTTAAAATAAAAGCTTAAAGAGTATCTGATAACAGTACATTGATGTTTAGAAGTACAGGCAACTTTATTTTATCTCTACATAAGACACCTATCACATGAGCAAGACTATCAGGTTCGCATGCACTAGAAACCTCAAAAATACCTACGCATTTTGCCACAACATTTTTTCTGTAAGCTTTCAGCCTGTAAAATAGAACACAATGCAAGTCATCAGTGGTGATTCTCCCCTATAATAATCCTAAATACTGAGTTATCAAAAGGCTTAACTTTGTTTTTCTACTGTTTTAAGATACACTGTCTTGAATTTTTTTTTAATTTTGTGTACAAAAGTTCTTTAAAAAAATTCTCAATTGTGGAAATAAGTGTAAATTCTATTTCAACAGCAGCAGCCCAAATACAGCATAAAAACAATGAAGGAAATTATTCTAAAGCAAGTGCTACTGCTAAGAAATAATAGTGTGTGCTGAGCTTGCAACACATTTTGTTTGTAACTAACTGCATTGCTCAGTCTTTTTTTTTTTTTTGGCTGAATTTTTCAGAGATTCGGCTGTTCCTCAAATAGCTTTAATAGCTTTTTCCATTAGTGAGAAGCTTTCTTCCTAGCCAAAAGGAAGTGGACATACAGGTACTGCAAGTTATACTCCATCCATTAAGTGTGCAATTCCCGCTTCTTTCCCCCAGTTAATCTTATAGCAGGGTAAAATGGTAAAATGGTTTCACTTACGTTTCTCTTGCAATAATTTTCTTGCCAATAGCAGCCTGGATGGCTATTTCAAACAACTGTCTAGGTATAGCATCTTTTAAACGTTCACACAGGAATTTCCCAGTGGCATATGCCTTCTCCCTGAAAGAAAGAGATAATAGCACCTTTAAAAGAAGCAATACAACCTCATATATAGATCAGAGTGTCTGTGAAAAATGATTTTATCGTCTTTTAAACTCAAATGTTAAGGTTGGCTAGATTATAATTTTGCATCGCATAAGTACCACTTCATGCCACCCACTTTATAAAACAGCAAGGTTACATAAACAGATCTTCAAGAAAATTTTAAATATTCATAATACATATAGAAATTGTCTATCATACTAAAACCATACTGATTACGGTCAGTTTCAACTGCTATTTTAAACTAGAAAGTCAAGGATTTTTGGCATAATAGGTCAGAAAAAGTATTATGAAAATATTTTTTCTTTATCTATAAAAATTCTAAAGTGTCATCTGCTAAGCAAAATACAAGACATTCAACATCTCCACATACTTTAGAATTTGGAAAGAGAAAAAAAAATTGAAGCAATAAAACAAGTACTTAAAAAACACACACACACACACCAGAAACAACTGTCTCGTCTCTCTAAAAAATTGCATTTGTGTGGTAATAAATGAATGCTACATTTCAGTCACCTACACAACACATCATAAAGAGTTAATGTTTTTAAGCATTATGATTTTAGAACATGCACATTTTATTGGATATTTAGGACACTACTGGATAAATTAAAGTTTCTCTCAGCATAATTCTTTATATAAAAACAGAGGTAACCTAGTCACAGTTACAGGAGTCTGAGAACAACTGAAGCAGGAAGAGAAAGAATTCTGAGCGTGAGGTGAAAATCGTTGATAAACCAAGGTAAAAGAAAGCGTATTAATTTAAATAAGCAGAGACAGTTCAGGGATATATGCCAAATTGACCAAGAAATTAAAGCATTAGCCACCTTTAACAATGTTGGCCACTCTATTTTGGCAAGTAGATTATTATACACATTCCATATGCATGAAATATCTTAAATAGTCCATGTACAGCAGAGAGATTTATTCCAGTCAATTGCATGAATTCTCTAAACAAAGTAAGGGTATCGTAGAGATATGATGAAATTACAGAAAGGGAGCCTTATAGAAACTTTGTCTGGGGAGAAAGCAAAAACATGAGATGCTGTAAACAGGCAGAAATGAGGAATTTCTGAGAAACTGATTTTTTTTTTTTGCTTAGGGAAACTCAAACATTTTAGCAACCGTTTCTGAGGTAATTACATCCTCTAAGTACTACTTGCATTTCCCTTGTAGTCTGTCTGGAGACAAGACAATAGCAAACTTACATAGAACGGAAATGACTTGAGGACAGAAATTTCAGTTTTTCAATACTAAATAATAAAACACTATAAATGATAAATCTGGCATTTCCAGTACTGGTGTGTCTTCAACTTGCCAGCCTTTCAGGAGATTGGCATCTTGTATTTCCTTCCCCAACTCATTGTTACAGATATACTTTATCTAGCATTTAAATTGAGAATGGAAAGCAAAACATTTTTGAGATTTGTTTCAACTGAAAAGTATTCCCTAATTCTGCCCTAATTATAAAAGGTCTCTTTTTCAGATCATCTCCAAAAGTAGTGATGTGGTGAAATCCTCAAAGCTGTGTTTAAAATACATTCATCGTAAGATACATATTTTTATTGTGTAGTAACAAGTCTATAGTTATTTGAACTAGAGAATACAGTCAACCTACCTGTGTGTGATAGTTGCCAGTTCTTCAACTGGATTTCCATTTAAAAGAATGTCCATTTTGATAAGGTCTGTTGCCTGGTATCCTGCATCTTCATAATCAAAACTAAAAGAAAAACAATTTCAAAGTTAGTGGCAACTTTGTGAAAATTATATTCTGTATTTTTTTTCCAGATATTTTAAGTTTTATGGACACTTT